CAGCCTGCAAGTTTGATATAAAGAGACATTTTATTCTGACAAAAATTAATAGGCTAATTTGGCACGCTATACCTTTCCCAGTGAATTAAATTACTAGTTGTCAGAGGTTGTCAAAGGGCTGTAAGTACAGTGTATGTCAGTTAATAGCTCAGGAAAGCAATGCTGTTGCAGCAGCAGCATGGGTTGGATCCAGCTGCTGAGCTCTTTGAGCAGGTAATGTGAGCTCTGGCCACAAGGAGAGGCTGCTCAGCAATTTGAGCACAGTTTACTTTAACCAATGATCTCTGTGGAGAGAAAGGGTAGAGAACTGTATTCTGATCCTCAGGCCTCACCCAGCCTTGATGATTTCCCACTTCACCTGTCTTTACTTTCCCCACTTGAGGAAAAAATCCCCAAAACAAACACCTCTTAATTCTTTCTTTATTCCAGAAAATAGAAGGGAAAGCCTCCTAGCTCATAGCATAGAAACCCACAGTATATCTGACATTCACATGCACAGAACAACACATGCATCAGAACATTCTGCCCCTCTTTCTCTTGTTTGGTAGCAATGCACACCACAACCAGCATGGATCAAGCAAGTTGACTACAGATGTGCAACAACAAAGTGGACGTACTCCCATCAAACACACGTCACTGCCAAGACTCTATTGACAGCAAGCGCCTTTTATTTCAGGCTGTAAATTGAAAACACTTATACCTTTCCTTTCCAGCAGTCTACCCACAGAATATCAACAGTGTCTGTGAATGGAATTGTCCACATTTCCCAAAGGGTAGCACATAAAAGGATTTTTTCCTGCTGCCCTTTTGTGCCTTTGTTTTGCTGCTCATGTCAAGGACATGACATGGGAAAGGGAGGAGTAGACAGGATATGCTATATGAGCTCTGTTATTACTTTAACTTTGCATTTTCCAATGGGAAACCACATCGGGGAGGGAAAGAATCTCACAGGAAGCTTTCCATACTGTAAGTCACAGGCTGGGTCCTGAACCTTTCCAAACATGCTCCCATGATCACCTCCTATTCCATAAGTGCCCTTAGTTACCACCTTGGTTGGTTTCTCTTAAGAGTTTCCCTTCCACCACTTCATGAAAAAACGTTGTTTCTGTTTTGTTCTAACAACAGATTCCTTAGCACACCAGCTGTTTCCAGTCAAACCATTTCAAGGCATGAATTTATCATTATAAACAAAGACAAATGTAAGTTAATCCAAAGTAAACCAGAGAACTAAAAGCACATTTTCATCATTTACTCTACTTACCATATATACACTATAGTAAGCGCAACTGTATAAAAGCATCGTTTATTTCCACATCTCACTGCGCAAATCCAAGCCAGGAAGCTACCAATACCAAAATATCCATTACTCATCATTTTCAGGAAGAAGATGCCAACACTGATGCAAAGCTGCTAGAGCACATCATTTTTGCCATACCCAACATCCGAGAAGCAGAAAGCTCTACAGGGGGTTTTCTGTTATCCTTATTGTTTTGTTTTTAAATGAGTGTTCTCTAATTGTTTATCTATTGATGCAATATTCTGCAATCAAGGAAAATTGTTACCTTCTAATTTCCTGAGAAGGGACAGTGTTCTTTTCCAGTATTTTTCTTTCTAATGCATACCTGCAAAGGACCATGCTTCCACTAAGTCTCTTTCGTTTTTCTGCATGGTTCTCACCACTGCAAAGGCTTCTGTCCTTGTTTTGCTACCCAAAACAACAAGTGGTAGGAAAATTATTTTTTGCTTATTCCTAGAGTCACATTTAGGGGGTAAAGACAGAAAAGAATACCTTACAAACCCTGTTCAAAAAAACTTACTATTATATGCAAACAGTAGAGAAGAAAAATAGTCTCAAGGCCTAGTACAGAGTATCAGAGAACCTTCCAGAGAAGACATGTGGACACACAGTCATGCACACTGTTTCTAGGTGGAGTCCTAAGTATCTATAAAGGTGGCAAATAAAAACTGCCTCACAAGACAATGAGTTTTGGATTATTTTTCCACTGAAGTTCATGTAGGTTGAACTCTCCATCATTATTTTAGTAGGATTTTTACCTGGTTAAGAAAATTAAATCAGAAACAGAAAGGAAGTTAATGATAACATAATGATAAGCTTTGCTACAAGCTGTCATATGCTTACAATCTCCACAGTCATGCAGATTCAAGAAGTAATTTATCTGCCTGTTCCCACACTTCCAACTGACACATCTGACTCAGACACTAGTATGGTGGGAGAAGCAGAAACGTGCATCTGAACAGACCGGCACTTCTGGCAGAAGGTACTAGTTGTGTAAAGCACACAAAGGAAATGGAGGTTTATTTTGGTTGGTTAATTGTTTTTTTAAATCCTCAAACTCTTAATTTACGTTTATGATAATGTTTTCATTTTATGATACACATTTTTCAGGTTCAGATCCTTACAAAGACCTATACAGTTTTTATACTAACCACCTCTGCTTTTCTACTCCCCCCTTCAAGGGTATACACTTCTAAGTAATCTCATCTGGTTTAATCCCCCCAAACGGGCATCACATCTCTTTCTGCACTCTTGCAAAGATCTAGGTTCTTCCTAGCTCAAGACAGTGAAGCTTTATCCTCTTAGTCATGGTAGCTGAAGGCACCACAGGCTCTTTTGCCATGGATAACTATATAAACCTTTCCTCCATCTCATAATCTGTCCAGGCCTGAAAAACAGGAAGCCCATTTAATGGACTAGCACAGCTGAAGTAATGGGTGCTCAAGAGTGTTAGTGATAAGCAGCTTGGTAACAGACTAACAATCGAGATGTCCATAGCCCAAAGGACTAAGAGCCTTTGCAAGATACTTGCAGCACTGTACAACAAGGATGTGCAGAACAGGAAGTGTCCAAGTAATACAGTACAAACTGAACACATGGTGATGGTAAGGACTGGCATTTGAGAGACTGCTTAGCTTCTGGATAAAAATCAATCGTCAAAGAAAAAAAATCTATTAAATCTGCAAAACAGCATGCAATACAGAGCACATGATACAAGATAGAAGGAATTCTTTAAATGGGAAATACAAATTGGAGTTTTTCTTGACATCAGCAGAGAGCACCATACTGGCTAGCTGCCAGACTGCTCACGTACCCAAGCAGCAATTCCAGTGACCGAGTCACACGACTGAGCAGGGCGGAGAACGGAGGGAGGCACTATCATGCTGCATTTCCACACAGCGCTCACTTCAGCAGGCCTCTCCCTTTACTCTGACACCACTGCTGTCCAGTCAGATCACCTGAAACGCACCTTTCCAATGACAGGCATTTTGTTATAAGCAAGTACTCTCAAAACCTAGCAGTTTCCTAAAGGAACTATTTTAGCCTTCAAATGCATGTCCTCCCTCTACACTGTGGCCACAACAGTGCATCTCTGGATGCTCTAAAGCCTACTCACCATCCTCCTCACTTTCCTCCCTGAAGTACCAGCAGCCAATGAAATCAGTTCCTCTCAGCATTTTCATAAATGAAGCTAAATCTTTACAGTTTGTAATTTAAAATATTTGATGAAATTAAATATTATGCTGCCCAAAAGGTCACAATGAGATGTCAATTATCCAACTATCACTATAACCGCTGCTACCACAACTTAGCATTGCACTGCCGTATACACACCACACTTAGCTATTTTAAACTGAAACAGAACCAATTATTGTCAGAGGGTGTGTTTTGCTATACATTATACCTGCCTATATCTGATTCTGCAATACACACACACTTATGCTTGGACACACTCTCAAAATTAATTTGGACAGATTACTATAGCCTTCTAAAGGGCAGGCAGATGGTTTGCATACCTTGCAGCCATTAAAACCTCATATTGTAACCTTCTCTGATCCTTCAAGATAAGCATACTCTTATAACATAGGAATTTGGAGAGAGAAAGTCTTCCTAAGGAACTTAAATACCACTGGGAAATATGCCTTTGACTTTGCAAGTAGCAGTTTCCTCCAGGAGGGTTTTGTCCATATTGCCCAAATCTGGTTTTTTCTACTATTTAGAAAATAGTCTTTTAGATGGTGAAAACAGAATGCAGGCAAATGTCATGGGAAAAAAAAAACTCAAGCAGATATTAAACCCTAACTGGAACCAAATTCTAACAATAAAAGCAAATGTTAAGCTATGCAATTCTGTCCTGAGGTAGGACTTACTGGTGGTACATAGTCCTCAGCACAGTTGTGCAAGTCACCTACACTTCTGACTGTACAGCCTAATAAAATGGGAAGTGGTATGCATCAGGCTTCTTCCTGAAAAGTAGTAACAGTAGGAGCAGCACCCCCACTCCAAAAGCTCCAGGATTTGAAGTATGATTTGTGCAACAGCGTCTTACACATTGTGTATAAGCAGATATAATGCATATAAGCTTACACAAGGAATTTCTACGAAACACCCCATTCATCTAACTCTTCCCTCCATAACTGAAACAACTGGGAGCAGCAAAAAAACCCCAAAAAACCCCACAACTTAGCATATATGGGACATATGTTTGAAGTAAACCTGGTATTTCTTTTATATAACTTAATTAAGGTTTGGGAAGTTTAACTTAACAGCATTTGGAAAATATTAAGGCACACCAAACAAAGCTTACAACAATATGTGCATTTAGCTAACATGTTTTAATATATGACATTACTCAAACTTCATGGATATTTAAAAGCAAATGTATACAAATCCTTTAGCAATAACATTAGGCCAGAATTCTCAGCAACTCATGCACATGAATTCCAAATTTGCTTACACCTTAAGCAGTTGGCCGTATTTTTCTTTACCTTTTTAATTGAAGTGGAGAACATTTTTTCTGTCCTGGTATTAGTAAATCTTTGACAAGATAACACCATGCTGTAGTCAGTTTATGTAAAATAATATGACAAATAGCTTTTGCTAACTGCATTACTTAATCCTGATCCCAAAAAACTAAGTAACTTCTTTGCACTCAAATGGCATTACAACTAACAAAAATTAGTTAGTTAGAACATTGCCTTACCGTGTAAATGCCAATTCTACAAACAGCAAATGAGAGCTGGATACATTCAGACATAGTCTAAAGAAATTAAAATAAAGACATTACCAAGAATGCTATTTCTTAAGAATTAGTTTTCTTCCCATCTCTCCCCTCTCCCCGGAAAGAAACACCTGATGGTACATTAATTTACGTTTCTCCTGTAAGGCTATATTAAACAAGCTGAGAAATGACTACCTTTCATACAGAAGCAGCTGCCAACACCATTGCACTTAGTAATTCAGTATTTCACTATAGGCCTGAAACTACCTAATGTTCCCCAAAATGCCTGTATGTACACAACATTAACATTTTGTAGGCAAGCTTTCAGTCCCATTTTTATCTACTCTGGTTTAAAAACAACCTGCAAGAGGCATTTTAATAGAGTAATGTGCTTTTTGGCTTCTTAGTGGACTGTAAAGAACTTTCATGTTAAAATATTATAGTTCTTCTCTCCCTGTATCATCATTCAGATTATCTTTCTATACCAAACCAATGCATACAACTTCACATTCCCATATTTCTGAAGTCATAATCCTTTAGTTCTCTGAGATGTTTGTGTTCAGAACAGAACTCTCGACTGTCTTGAATATTTTATTTAATCTGCTCTTACAGCTGTGAATATCATATTAAAAGTTTTTACCCTCAACTCGCTCAACTTCCAATCTGTTGTGATGCCACAATTCTACGTCTTCTGAAGTCACCCAGTGAGGCTGAGGATGGACTATGAATTTCTGATGAAACAGATGAAAAACACCTTCTTTAAATAGCATAAAGAAGCCAGAATATAAATGCAACTCCCCACCACCAATATAAAATCTGTTGTAGGTTTACCAATTTTTATTAATGGTCTGGTACAATAAATCAGACTTACAATGATTTATTCAAAAGAATAATTGAGAAATCACTTTAAAAAAGGTATTTGAGAATTCACTGTAGGCAAAAATTAAACCCATCAAGTGGAACATTTTTACTATATGTTTAACAACTTCCACACATCATCTGCATGTATTATAAGAGGTTGAAGATGAAGTGCTGGATGCTAAAGACTTCAAACAGCATCAGTGAAAACTTTTTTTTTGTTTTACCTTTGCTTTCTTCCCCCCCCCGCCAAAAGCCCTGCAATTCAATTACCCATTTTATTAAACTGATTTAAAAAAATATAAAAGCAGCTCTTATAAATTATGAATAATAAAAAATGTGTAGCAACTATTTTTTTGCTGTAACTGTTAAATTTAAATTTTAAACAAACAATATTTCACTGAACTGTATGAAAGTAAAAAAGCACAGCAGAAAAACCTGAAGAGAAACCTCAAGAGTATGGTTGATTTTTCTTTTCTTACTGAAAGCAATCTAGAATATTATTGCTGACAAGGTAATGCTGCTTCAAAGCACCATTTAAATCACCAGGGTATTTTTTCTTTTTTCTTTTTCAGCTTTCAGAACAAACATTCAGTTCTAACTTGTGCTCTAAGCTTCCCCCAGAAAAAAAGTCACAGAAAAATAGCAATAGAAATCCTATGTTACACAAAGTGGTGCAGTGGGGTTATAAACCATACCCATACCCGTCCTGACAGTGTTTGCAGACCTTGTTCCAAAGGTTCCAGGGATGGATGACTTCCCAAGCAATCTAGTCCAGTGCTTACCCTCCCTATTACCTTCCCTACTAGAAAGTTTCCTAATGTTTAACCTGAGTCTGCTGCAATTTAAGCCCATACTTAACATAGGGTGATACATACCATGTTTTATATTTTCAGTATTGTGACAGATTCTTTGTTGATGGTAGACCCAACTTCATATAGAAAGTAAAAGATTATCTCAGGTTGCAAGGGAAGTAAACATGCAGCAGCAGCAAACCACTACAGTTTCTCAATGTATATAGTTTCCTTTTATTCTGGACAACCACAGCATTATAAATTGTTTTCCTTTTTAAATTTTTGTTCAGTACTTGCAGGCTATACATTCATGGGAGAACTTAGCTGCAGTTCAAATTCCCCAGAGAGCACCTGTGGACCCTTGCTTCAGCCTTAGGCATCTGTGTTACCTTACTCATCTGTCGCTGAGTTTGCTACTGTTCATGTTTTAAAATTAAAAAGCTATTACAAGGCATGAATCCTAAACTTATCTCCCCTTCCTACTGTCACATACAGTACCAGTGAACGTTTCCCCTATGCGTTTGCCAATGAAATATGAAGCTAATTCCTTTTCAACCCTCCAAGATAATGCTTATGTCTATGGTGTTAAAAAGCTCATTAATTCCAATGCTGTTATAAGCTTCTCTCTTATATATACAGTAGTGTGGCCAGCAGGAGTAGGGGAGTGATCGTCCCCCTGTGCTCAGCACTGGTGAGGCTGCACCTCGAATGCTGTGTTCAGTTTTGGGCCCCTCATTTCAAGGACATTGAGGGGCTGGAGCAAGTCCAGAGAAGGGCAAAGAAGCTGGTGAGCGGTCTGGAGCACAGGTCCTTCTGAGGAGCGGCTGAGGGAACTGGGGTTGTTTAGCCTGGAGAAGAGGAGGCTGAGGGGAGACCTTATCACTCGCTACAACTGCCTGACAGAAGGCTGCAGTGAGGTGGGTCTTGGTCTCTTCTCCCAAGTAACAAGTGACAGGATGAGAGGAAATGGCCTCAAGTTGTGCCAGGGGAGGTTTAGATTGGACATGAGGAGAAATTTCTTCAACCAAAAGGGTTGTCAAGCATTGGAACGGGCTGCACAGGGAAGTGATTGGGTCCCCATCCCTGGGGCTATTACATGGTGCTTAAGGACATGTTTTAGTGGTGGACCTGGCGGTGTTAGGTTAATGGTTGGACTGGATGACCTGAAAGAGCTTTTCCAACCTAAACGATTCTACAATTCTGTACTCATCCCTCCCACCCCCAAAAAATTTACATTCCTCCCAATATTATTTCAATTGAATCGCTGAAAAAGCATCATGAAATTTTTTAAGTAATTAGTTGTTCAGTGATACTACACTACAGACTATCACTCTGATAGCTGAATTACAATATATGTGATAATATGTTGCTACAATGGAGAATTTATTCTTGATACTTGTAACCTTTCATTACTTTGGTTTTGCAACTCATTTTGCACCATACAATTAGGCAACAAAACAATTATTGGAGAATTTGCATTTAATTTACTTACAGTTTATTGTTGCTTTCTGAAAGGATTTTACATGGTAAGCATGAAAATAAAAGAAAAAAATAATGTAAAAATATACCTACAAATATTACAAAAGAAAGACACCTTGTTTGATAGAATTCTACAGAGACTTATTCTTAACAGAAGTCACTTAACATGTCTGAAGTGAGAAACAGAGTTGTCGGGTCAAATATGTCAAACAATGTAAGCACGCATCTCTGTCAATATGCACCCTACTGGTTAGGCAAAGGGTCATCTCACAAGCATTAAATAAGTTCTCCAGTTGGAAACTAAACTAATGGCTAACATACATATTTGACCAAAACTCTGTTATTTTAATCATATGTTGTAAAAACTTGACTGTTCATAACAACTTAGAACGATGTCTGCCTTGCAGACTGTGCAACCTTTCATTGACAAGAAGCATTTGTCCTGTCCATTTTTTCAAGCATTCCGCTGTGAGTACAAATACCAGTACAAAATAAGTTCAGTATATGGTGTTTAAAACAAAAAACCCTCATACGGCTCTGATAGAGGCACACATTACTCTGCAACCGCACAAATTCATTAATATCTGTATCTTCAGCGAACACTAAATGGAATTCCTACCCATAGTATTTACAAGAGCAAATTTTAGAGATTAATAGAGCATGTTCTGCAACTGATCACTTAAAGTTGAAATCACAGAGTCTCAATAATTTTGGCAAAAGAGGGGCGGGGAGTGGGGGAGGGAGGGATCCTAACCAGCTTCTCGGAAAAGACACAAAAGGCTAGACACATGCCAGAACTGCAGGAGCCGGAATCCTCAATTCTGCCAGCTGACACAAATACTCACCTTGACCTCAGCTTGCTTTGCCATAAGCCTAAATAAATTACAGCACCAAGTACAGTTCCAAGACCACAAAACCAGAAAGCAATATAAGAAAAGGAAGCTGTTGGTTTTTTTCTGGTGACATTTTCTGTAGTACAGTAAAGATTAAGATGCACTCCTGCTTGTTTATAAAGAAGTGTTCCACACCAGTAATTGCTTGGAATTACTGGACCTTCCAGGCAAAAAGCTTTTCCGCCTCCATCTGCATCTCTTTCAGAGCATAAGAAATGTGAAAATTAGCAATACAAGCGTAAACAATATGCAGTTTTTAAGGTACCTATATGCGTGGAGCCTGAAAGAAATTCTCAGTGCTTATGTGTTTTAAAGAACACGTAGGTACCCAGAAGCACACACAACTACGCTACAGTACAAGTGGCAGGAACTTTGACCACAGCGGCTGTTTGCTAACCTTGTGTACTGAACTCCAAGTAGTAACTCCAAGGCTCCTCTTTCCGCACAAGATGTCACAGCCCTCTAGCACATTCCATTAATAACATTTCTAATTTAAACTCTCAAAATTCTTTTTCAATACAGTTCTCAGAGATAAAAGACACACAAAATATTTTCAGATTCTCCTTTAATGCTGAATAATTAGGTTTTTAAAATACCTACCTTCTTGTACATAGTCATTAGAAAAAATAAACCTGAGTTTAGAGACTAGAAGAAACCTGATGCTGATGGAAAGGCAATGACCCTATATGTGAACAGGAATTAGGATTGGATCCAAAAACTCTCTTGTCATCACAAAAAGTGATCAAGTGGATGCACCAGAGAACACGGCTCTCCCCTCTTTTAGGCAATGCTCTCACTAGAACAGTTTTCCATGACTGTTTCCAGGACTGCAATGGTTCAGACAGTGAAAGATGCAGATTAGCCAACACAAAATTAATAGTTGCAAGAACAACATAGACATTTCTCAAGAATTCTGGACCTTTTCCCCAGTCTTGCTGAAGCCTGGAATTATGCAAGTTTCTAGGCAAGAATAAAGTACTGAGAGAAGAGATCATTCACGGTAGAGCACCTCATCACTCTCCACTAGACAGGC